TATAACCACCAAACTCAAGCGGGGAGGAGGGGGAGGAGGGAGTGGGAGGTGACAGGACACGTTTAACAGTTAAAGCAAGGTCTAGTGAAGTATGTACTTTTATTTATGTCCCTTAGATTGAGGTTATTGCTTATAAAAATGTCACAGAAGGACCAGAGAGAATATATTAAAATACTCATCGGAATTTATTAGATAGTGATTAATTTAATGTAAACATAATAGTTTGTTTAGACAAATTTAGTAATCATTTTGTACACTATTTTGATTATAATGTACAGTACAGCCAATGCAAATGAGTTTCAATAATGAATAAAGTTACATATATCGCAGCCAAAATAATACTCGAAGTTGAAACTCTTAAGACAGAGCCTCGATGGCAATTTCAGAATGACCAATAATTTTAATATAAAATCAAAAATATTCAAGAACACAAACCTTCTTGTTCTTGATATAAGTAAGTGCTATCACTTAATCTAATTGGTTCTAGAACCCTGTTCAATATAGCATTCGCCGTCAAAAGGATTAATCCGCTCCAGGCCCCAAATAAACAACACTTAACACTGAAAAATATAATATAAATTGCAAAAATTAAGAAAAAAGTACACATAGCATCTAAACCGAAATAAGAACATCATTAATACTTGCAATAAAACAATAAATTAAAAAAAAAAAAATTTTTTAGTATTAAAGAAGTTTCGTTCAAATAGCATCAATTTACAAGTAAAACCGTCATATAGAATATCTAGAAGATCCGTCAAGTAAGCATACCCACCGTATACCCAATGAAGGAATGCAAACATATAAAAGATTACTGTATTGACGTACCACCTATCAGCTGATCGAAGTGACGCATAACAAAACGGTTATGTAAGGATTTAGCGAATCAAACTTTGTTTAGAACCGAATTAAAGATCCAGACACCCATAACAAATATTTAACCGAGACCACCACACGGTATCACTTTAAAGCTCGTGTTAGGTAAAATGACTTGGAGAGCTTAAAATCCGCTTAGTTTAAGCGCCGTCCCAAGAGTGTAAAAATACATACCCTGTTAATAGCTGCCGATATATATATATATATATATATATATATATATATATACATATATATATATATATATATATATATATATATATACATATATTATTTCATCAAATCCACAATGAAAATTGCATTTAGCTGTTTATTCAAGACATCTTCAGTTGCCTCCTGAAGATGCCTTTAATAAAAATCTAAAGCCAAGGCAACAAGCTGTTTCATTTTCCCGCAGATTTTATATATATATATATACATATATATTATATATATATATATATATATATATATATATATCACAGCTTACAAGCGCCATAATGTCCTCACCGCATATACGCCCATGCCTAAAAAAAAAATAACATGACGCCAGCTGAACCAATTCACTCCACGATCCCCTGACGGAGACACGATGATCCTCCCCATACTGGTCAGATATTATGTGTTAATACAAGTTTGGTACCTCTAAAATTAGAAGAAAAGCCGAGAGACTCAAGCGTCTGATATGAACGGACTTCTGCGTGTAATGACCGTCTAAAAAAAGCATAGCTACATATTTTGTGGACTACCAGTATTAAGCGTACCCTTTTCCTTTGTAATAAACCTAATGTGCACCTATTATTGTGTTTATGATATTTACTGTAACATTATATATATATTTTAGTATAGGTCTAAATGGTCATAAAATGGAAACTTAGGAATGGGTGTAGATTTGCCTGAACCAATTAGAATAAATCCCACATAGGTTCTATTACTTTCATTATCGTGAAGAATTTGTAATTAGAACATTTCTTATGGGGTTGACTAACTTTGTACTATATATATGACTGTTGATTGCTTCTGGTGTTATGGTACAGAGGGTGCAAGTGACAGCACCTAGGATCCACCCTCCTCGAGGATAACCATTTGAACATAATTAGAAAAAAACAAAACATATTACCTGATGAAAAATAATGGGATGCCCCACCATAAATAATGGGACCTAGCGAACCTAAATGGCCCTAGAGCGGGCACAGTCATGTATGCGTCGCATATTCTTATAGATTGTGCTGCCAGGCGTACGTTATCTAGTGAATTTAGTCAGTTTTGTACAATAACAATGGACCTAAGATGCAAACCTGTATTGTACATGTACTAAATGATTACGGTACTAAAATTGTTATGTCTATGGCAAATATAGCTTGTTTATACAAGAATCCCTCCAATGTAAGTTATATTCACCCAGGTCGTTTGGGTGGCAAATTATGAGAAGAGCTTAGTCACTCTTAAGTAATGATAAATAAACACGGCGGCCTTCAGCGCCAACTGTCAAATCTTATCTCAAATAAATAAACAAACAAACGCCAGACATTGTCACCTCACCTTTACTTCCCACCCTCCTGTGTTCCCAGACAAAAGATTGGTGATTATTTATGTTTATTTTATATAATATCTTGCAAGACAGAGATTAATTTGAATATAAGCGTCATATATTTTGCTCAAGATATAAAAAATGTAGTACATTAGTGTACAATACTGTATAGTAGTACATTTTATAAAAAGTTTTTCAACTGTATTTTTGGGTAGATTTGCATAAATTTTTTCATTTATTTTCATCCATTTACACGCACACACCATACTAAAATAAACATAATAGAAATAAATGGCCTTAGTGCAAAGCTGGAGTGCACATGTACTAATTTGATTACGGTACTAAAATTGTTATGTCTAGTGCGAATTACAACATGTTTATATTCAAATAAATCAGTATCTTACAAGAATTCCAGCAATGTTAATTATATTCTCCTAGGTCATATCACTGGCATTTTAAAATGAGAGAAGCTTAGTAGGAATGTTAAATAAACACACAGAGACCTTTGGCTCAAACTTATCCCCTCAACCCCCCCCCCCCACCCTTCGCGGACTGGCTGGCTCCGTCAGTCCCTCCCTCCCTCCCCCCAGCCTTTTAGGCTTACAGTTTTTATGTTATATACCATATTTTTCGGCTTAAATGACGCACTTTTTATGACAAAAATATACCTCGAAAATTACCATGCGTCTTCCAGGACATGAGTCGATGAGTTGTAGCAGAGGTTTTTGAAGTCAGCCCCTTACAAAGACTGTTACCTCATTACAGTACTTAACAATTACAAGTATTATCTATACAGTACTATAAAACTATTGATTTAACTAATATTGTTGATATATTGCAAAAAAAACCCAAATAATAAACCCTTGCTGCTGTGTGGTTTGTTTACTAATGGCAGTGGTGCGGCAGCGCCATCTATTGAGGAATTGCTAAAGGTTGTCTGCTGGTCTCAAATGCAGGAATGTTTGTTACTTTATATGTAGGCTCTCATATTTGGACACCTATTTACAGTAGGCTCTCATATTTGGATACCCATTTAGACTGTAAAAACCCCACAAAATTAAAATCTTCCAAATTTAAATACAACTTCGTCGTCCAAGTAAAAACACACACACAACAACATTGGCTGTCCTTATGCTTTCAACTTTACTACCACTGGTGGGTAGAATTTTTTTTTAATTCAGAAACTTTAATTAAAATATATATGCACAGTAAATAAGTGTTGCTTTCATATTCTTGTGTAGAGTAATAGATGATATGTTTACACATGTGCTCACTTACATACACGATCTCACTTTTTTTTACCCTTAATTGTTAGCTACTTCCATTGTTCCATTTATTAACATTAAATAACATTACTTAAAACAACCATATTAATTTTTCCACATTAATTTTAATACAGCTACAATGGAGTACTTATTTTCTTCAGTTTTATAATTATGTAGAACCAATCAGTCACTGGTTTTGCAAAAAAAAACGAGTTGTTTTTTACTTTTATTTTGTTTTTAAATAGATTTTTTTGTTTTATATAGACGTTGATATACATGTTTACATTTGCTTACCTTCTACTGTTGGAAAATATTTCCCGTCGTTGTCATACCGACAAAAACAAGAGAAAGAATGTAAACACTACAGCCCCTAAGATGTGGAGGTGACCAGGTGTATAAAGTGAGTGCTGTATTAAAGATTTCACCTTCTTATACAGATTTTTTTTTTAAATTGATGAAAATGATGACTGATAAGCAGTTCTAAGTGATGATATTCAAAGAGGTGTGTGTACTTGTGCCAAAAGGGCTGTATATCAAGCAACGGTTTCACTGGTGTAGGTATTAGGCAGCTCATGTACCAAACAAGGAGGTACTACCGTCTGGGAAGATATTGGAAGCATAATGTATTGTCTAATGGTAGACTCTGCTGCTATGTGACCCAAGTCCCAGGTTGATGATCTGACTTTCTGCAGGGTCTCAATTGTTTCTCTTACTTTGACAACACACCATACATACAGGTATATTGTTTCTCACTCTTGATATTTTTTTTCATTTTTGTATTTCTTTATTATTATTATTATTATTATTATTATTATTTTTATTATTATTACTATTATTATTATTATTATTATTATTATTATTATTATTATTATTATTATTATTATTCCGAGTACAGTATTACAACAAACACATTACTGTACAGACACTTGAAATCACTTGAAAAACTATTTCACTGTAAAACATCATTTTAGATGTACAGTGTTCCAAATGTGGAGGGTTTAAGAGTTAAATGGACAGAGATATAACCTACCAGCTTGGCTGACCAGAGAAGACTGGTAAATGATTGACCCATGCTTATCTCCACCCATGTGGTGGTACTTTCTGGAAGCTTGCCTGGTAAGATCATGCAGTCGTCAATGACGCATGAAAAGTTTACGCAAATATTTTGAAAACATTTTTGGTGAACTTTTAAAAGTTTTGCAATGCGATTTGTGTCACTTATGCAGTTAGTGCTACCCAGTAATATGACACAATTTGCGTTGTGGTGCGCTAGAGGGTTAATTTTGCATATGAGTGGAAGCTGTGTATTTTTACTAGTACAATTCTAATTTATTAATTGGTTTTTTTTTTTCAGAAGTGTGATTTGCTGATGAACAGAAAATGCTGACAAAATTTGAGACGAAGAGTGCAAGGGTGAAGGGCTTGTCCTTTCACTCCAAACGGCCCTGGGTTCTGGCCAGGTAAGACACTATACAAAGTTTTCTTCTTTGGTTTTATGTTCAGAAGAGTACAATATTACTTTAGCTTCCTGTAAAGGTAAGTTTAATTCTCCTGACTTTATTGGAGGCAGTACAAATTACAGTGAGAAACGCGTAAAGTGAACAACATAACATATGGGATTAATTGAAATAGAGACCAGGCCGACCCCCAAACTCCACTTTTTCCCGACACAATACGTACGTTTTACTAAAAATAACATCTTAACTTTATGATGGTATTCACCCACACATAATATAGAAGGGAACAGTCAATAAACTGAAGGTTAGGTTAGAAAAAAACAAGGTTGGGGTTAACACTTACGTTAGCAGAAGAGATGGGTCGGCGTACGGGAATGGAGGCTGGTTCCGAGGCAGAGGGCAGGCTACTGGCCCTCGGGTGAGTCACCATCACTGTCATCCACACTTGTCAGGGCCTCCCTGACAAATCCCTCAAAGTCATCATCACTGTCTCTACCTCTGTCACTATCACTGGCTTGGGCTGGCTGTGGTGGGTTGCAGGCGAAGAACTCTGTTATGCTTTGCTGATGGCTGGTGTTTATGTTGTCGTGATAAACCTTGATGTAGGGCTCCATAGTCTGCAACAGCTGGGTAGTGAAGATTTCATACCTGTTTGCGTCAGGGTCGTCGGAAAGGAGCAGCTTGGCGTTCTAGCTACACTCGATGGCACCCCTAACATTACTATGGGATAAGCGGCGTTCTTCTTGGGATGACGCACCACCTGCCTCTTCACTGACGTCATCATCATCTACCATCTCGTCGGTAGTCACATCAGGATCCCTTATTACCTCCAGGATGTCGTCGTTGGTGGTCTCGGAGAAGCCTGCAGCTGTAACACTCTGTGCAGCTTCTCTGGCAAGGTCCACTGCTACTGCAACAGTCTGAACCTCACCAGTCACAGATTGACTCTGCCTAGCGGCCGGAATGCCTTGCAACACATGTCTCCATGCATGACGAACAGTTGCTACAGACAGCTGATCCCATGCCTCCACCAAGAAATCCACAGCTTTCTTGACGTTGAATATTCTCCAGAATTGTTTTAAAAGTACTTCTTGCTCTGCCAACTGTTGATCCTCGTCGTCTTCGCTCTTGCTATCGGTGTTGGTGTCACTCAGGTTACGCAACTCTTCCCTGGTGTTGGTGTTGTCGTTCAGGAGCTTGAATTTTTTAGTAGAGAATGCAGCTCTTACATTACAGATTAACTCTTGGTCCATGGGCTGTAATATAGACGTAGTGTTGGGAGGAAGGAAGACCACTTTTACGTTGGGGTGACGATCTAACAGTAGAGGCGAGTGTCCTGGTGCGTTGTCCAGCAGCAACAAAATCTTGAATGGCACATTCTGTTGCTCACAGAATTTCTTCACATCGGGAACGAAACAGTCATCAAACCAGGAGAGGGACAGTGTAGAGAACATCCATGCCTTACGTGCGGTCAGCCAGTGGACATTTAGCTTGGTCATGTCCATGCTCTTGTAGGCGTGCAGCTTGCGTGCTGTGTGGATCACCGATAACTTGAGCTTACAGGTACCGGAGGCATTGGTGGTAAACAGGACGGTGATGCACTCCTTCTGCAACTTCCGGCCCCGAATATTGCTGGCATTCTTCACAACGAAGGTCTTGGAAGGTAGCTTTTTCCTTTAAAGACCAGATTCGTCCATGTTAAACACCTGGTCGTCGGTGTACTGTCCTTCCTCCATAATCTCACGTAAAAACGGAGGAAATTCCCTAGCCGCAACACGGTCAGCACTAGCTTCTTCACCACCAATAATGATATTGGTGATCTTGTTCCTCTTCTTAAACCTCTGTAACCACCCAGAGGAAGCATTAAAGGGTTTGGGCTCTGTAATTCCCATCTTTCGTGACACTGCAGCATACAGTTCACGTGCGTACTCCTTAACTGAGCGCGTGTCCACCGCCATGTTCCGTCGCGCCTGACGCACCAAGTAGCTCACAAATAATTTTTCCGTCTTGAGAAGCACCTGGTTGTGGAAATACTTGATCTTAGGAGCACCTGTAGACTTTGTGATGTTCATGTGCTCCTTTATCTTGGCTGCATCCTTCTTAATTGTCCTGATCGTAGACTCGTTAACACCATGCTGGCGCGCGAGATCAACCTGTCTTGTTTCTTTCTCCAACTCTTGTATGATCTTATACTTAATTTCGTAGCTTAAGGAACGTCGTGTCTTCTTTGGCTTAGGGCGGCTGGGTCCAGGTAAGGAAAGGTTTCTCTCTGGGGGCGGTGGTCCGGCGGAAGCCATTTTACAGAACAATGGATGCACGCTTACACGGTGTGGCCTGGAGGGATGAAACTGCCGCGGCTAGGTCAGGCGTCGTCTTTCCTCCCTCCCTCCCGCGGGTGGACACGTCATATTACTTTAAACCAATCACAGCTAGCAGCGGAGGGAGGTAAGGATGCATGGCCCAATTACAGTCCGATACGTCATGTGACGTCACTGATAACGCAACAAAGACACACACTGCGCAACCTACTCGCGCCGCTTACACAACATGGCGGGAGAGATGACGGGAGGTTTGGATCCAAAAATGGCGCAGCTCGCCAGCCGCTCTCCGCGGAATGTGAGCATTCCGGTTTCAGCAGGGTACCACATAAACGCGGAATGTGGGACCGCGTAAAGCGAGGGTTGACTGTGTGTGTGTGTGTCTGTGTGTATATATATATATATATATATATATATATATATATATATATATATATATATATATATATATATATATATATATTGATAAAATCACACGGGAAAATGGAAACAACGGAGTACCTTAGCTTTCGTCTTTATTCAAGACATCTTCAGTTGCCTCTGAAGATGTCTTGAATAAAGACGAAAGCTAAGGTACTCCGTTGTTTCCATTTTCCCGTGTGATTTTATCAAGATATATCTTATCCACGTTTTCATTGTGGATTTACATGAAATATATATATATATATATATATATATATATATATATATATATATATATATATATATATATATATATATATATATATATATATATATATATATATATATATATATATATATATATATATATATATATATATATATATATATATACACACACACTATTGTATTATCTACTTAATGGTTTCACTAACGTTTTATCATATACGGTGCCTCGCCAGAGCTGAACTTTCACTTAACACGGATTTTTTCCACATATACGCGGTGAGTGTCCGAGACGCTATTTTTAGATTTGCCCCACCCGCCACCCTGCCTGACTGCCTGTTTTAGCTCATAAAATTCATACAAATTACCCCGCCAGAATATAATTTACATTGCTGGAATTCTTATAATTTGGTGATCATTTTGAATATAAACATCATATATTTTGCATTAAACATACAATTTTTAGATAAAATTTTTTCTCAAGGTAACTATGTTCTCTTTGTGCAAAATATATGACATTTATATTCAAAATATTCCTGGTCTTACAAGGAATCCAGCAATGTCAATTATATTATCCTAACTTTAGTTTGAGGTATTATTTATTAAAATTTAGTGGTTATCCCACACATCTCCTTGGGACGGTTGGTGGGGGGTGGGGGGGAGGGAGGGACCGACCGACCATCTGTTACCCTGTGAAGAATTATTTTTTTTTTTATTAACTGAAGATATTTGTTTTAGCTCATAAAATTCATACAAATTACCCGGTCAGAATATAATTTACATTGCTGGAATTCTTATAATTTGGTGATCATTTTGAATATAAACATCATATATTTTGCATTAAACATACAATTTTTAGATAAAAATTTTTCTCTAGGTAACTATGTTATCTTTTGTGCAAAATATATGACATTTATATTCAAAATATTCCTGGTCTTACAAGGAATCCAGCAATGTCAATTATATTATCCTAACTTTAATCTGAGGTATTATTTAATACTAAATGTTAAAAACTCTTGAAGGGAGGATTGGTGGGGGGTGGGGGGGAGGGTTGGGACTGACCGCGCGGTTGGAAGAGGGGGGGAGGCAAGGTGGGGTACTTTGATTGACAGATAGTGTCGTGAAGATTATTTTTTTTTTTTATTAACTGAAGATATTTGTTTTAGCTCATAAAATTCATACAAATTACCCGGTCAGAATATAATTTACATTGCTGGAATTCTTATAATTTGGTGATCATTTTGAATATAAACATCATATATTTTGCATTAAACATACAATTTTTAGATAAAATTTTTCTCTAGGTAACTATGTTATCTTTTGTGCAAAATATATGACATTTATATTCAAAATATTCCTGGTCTTACAAGGAATCCAGCAATGTCAATTGTATTATCCTAACTTTAGTTTGAGGTATTATTTATTAAAATTTAGTGGTTTTCCCCCAAAAATTTCTCTGAGAGGGAAGAGCCAGGCAGTGTAGTGTGAGAGAGGGGGAGGGAGTTGAGTCCATTATTTGAATGGACATTAACTTGGCGACTGTATTTCTCTATTTCTCTTAAGTATTAATTGTGTGCATGTACCATCATAAAATTAAGATGTTATTTTTACTACAACATAGGTATGTGCCTTCAAAAAGTGGAGTTTGGGGGTCGGGCCGGTTTCTATTGGAATTAATCCCATATGTTCTGTTGTTCACTTAACGCGGATTTCACTTAACGCGGGACCCTCTGGGTTCAATTGACCGCGTTAAGTGGGGTACAACTGTGTATATATATATATATATATATATATATATAAATACGGTATATATATTAAACAAAAAATGAGTACAACACCAATGTATCCAATTTTTTATGAAAGAAATGCTTGCTTTTTAATAAGAAATTATTAAAAAAGTAATGTACACAAAGTACAGTACAGTACAGTACAGTACAGTACAGTACATTTACCCCCAGAAATTGAAGGCAGATCCAGCTGGACATGCCTCTGACTGCAAAAGGCTTGCAGGCACTCAGAGTCTGAGTGCTTTAAAATTCCGTATTCAGCACATAATTA